TCATCATGCTGAAGCTCCTCTTTCACATGCATACTCTCTCACACACACCCAAACACACACACAGGATTATTGGTGTGTGTGTGTGTGTGTGTGTGTTCTCCTCAACACACTCTCGCCGCTCAGAGATGAACACTGCTGTGCTGTTAGTGCTGTCCTGCTGTTTATTATGATTATGACTGACACTGATGTGTGTACGCTGATGCTGCTCTGTCTGCTCGCCTTCACACACACACACACACACACACACTAACACACGCACGCGCACACACACACACACACACACACACTAACACACGCACGCGCACACACACACACACACACACACACACACACACACACACACACACACACACACACACACACACACACACACACACACACACACACACACACACACACACACACACACACAGCTTCTGCTCTGATCACTCAAATAAAGTCTTTTATGGCCTCCTCTATGACTGTTATTCCAATCAACATCCAGTCCAGAGAATTCACAGCCTGAGTGTGTGTGTGTGTGTGTGTGTGTGCGTGCGCGTGCGTGCGTGCGTGCGAGTGTGTGTGTGTGTGTGTGTGTGTGTGTGTGTGTGTGCGTGTGCGTGTGCGTGTGCGTGTGTGTGTGTGTGAGTGTGTGTGTGTGTGTGTGTGTGTGTGTGTGTGTGTGTGTGTGTGTGTGTGTGTGTGTGTGTGTGTGTGTGTGTGTGTGTGTGTGTGTGTGTGTGTGTGTGTGTTTGTGAGTGTGTGTGTGAAAATATGTATTACGCCAAACATTTTTGCTTTTAGCATAACAATAACATTAAGATTCACTCATTCATTTTTTCAGTTTAGTCGCTTTATTAATCAGGGGTCGCCACAGCGGAATGAACCAACTATTCCAGCATATGTTTTACACAGCGGAAGCCCTTCAAGCTGCAACCCATTACTGGAAAACACCCATACACACTCACACACTACAGCCAGTGTAGTTGATCAGTTCCCCTATAGCGCATGTGTTTGGACTGAAACCGGAGCACCCGGAGGAAACCCACACCAACACGGGGAGAACATGCAAACTCCACACAGAAACACCAACTGACCCAGCCGAGACTCAAACCAGAGACCTTCCTGCTGTGAGAAGAGAAGAGTTCGTTGTCTGGAGAAGTGTGATGTGGGCACAGGGCTGTCCATCATACAGTTTACAGCGGCAGGCTCAGATCAATTCCTCTGTTCTATTAGGATTCAGGGTTTAGGGAAGCAGAGTGGGGCAAACCTGCAGCATGTGGACGGGGGAACAGCTCTTACTGGACCAGAACAGCCCGGTGTCCCATCAGCCGTGGCCTACATTAGACAAAAGCAGTGATCAGCATTGTGAAAGGATGCGTTTGTAAAAGGAAAGTAAGTGTCCTGTTAGAGTTTAGGTGAAGGAGTGTGTGTGTGTGTGTGTGTGTGTGTGTGTGTGTGTGTGTGTGTGCGTGTGTGCGTGTGTGTGTGTGTGTGCGTGTGTGCGTGTGTGTGTGTGTGTGTGCGTGTGTGTGTGCGTGTGTGCGTGTGTGTGTGTGTGCGTGTGTGCGTGTGTGTGTGTGTGTGTGTGTGCGTGTGTGTGTGTGTGTGTGTGTGTGCGTGTGTGTGTGTGTGTGTGTGGAGATAGTGTTGTGCACTTCATAGCTGCTGCTGCTGGAGATTTGAGGTGTAACTTTGAATTTTGAGTGAGGTGTTTCAGAAACCGTGTGACAGGAAAAGATTGTGTGTGTGAGCAGCTGGAAAACTGTAAGTGTGGACCGGTCCGCCATTCAGAGGCTCGATGTTTCGTGTTAGTCGTGTGTGTAGCGCAGGTGCCGCCGGGGGCGCTGCCGGCTCTCAGAACAGATGCGGCTCTCGGAAATTGCGTCCTGAGCTCCATTACTTCCGTCTTTCCAAACGGAGGAAAACAGATCGAGCTGAATCACCGCGCGCTCCGGCACTCTGCTGAACACAGCCAATATGGTGAGAACAGCCGATATACAGACTCTCAGGCGCTGTGAGGGACACCTGCCGGCTCTGTGGAGGCGGACAGAGATATACAGGACAGAGCTAGAGCCGTGTGTGTGTGTGTGTGTGTGTGTGTGTGACCAGATTGACGGATGAGGAGCGTGAGTTAGCGGAATGATGGAGCACACACACACACACACTTACTTTACACTCTCTAACCATCACACAC